TCAAGAGTAGGTTCGACTCAGTCGATCGATCGATGCTATTCGAAATGCGCGGAGGTGTTCCCAGGAAATATGTGAACATCCTACGTGCTCTATACTCGAACGCTACAGGCCGCGTCAGAGTTACGGTGGCCTATCCGATAGCTTTCCGACCACAAATGGTGTTCGTCAGGGTTGTCCAATTTCCCCATTATTGTTCAATTTCGTCGTGGATTCTATCATGGAGTGTTCCCTTGAGAGATCTCACAATGTAGGCATTGAAGTGTTGTCTGGTGTGAGATTAGTTGATTTTGATTATGCGGACGATATCGCCTTGATTTTCAACGATGTTACGGCCGCACACTCAACCCTGAATAGCTTGTCTTGAGTGGCCGCATTAGTTGGTATGTGCTTCGCACCTCAAAAGTGTTGCTGAAGGACCACCAGCCATTTGATGATCCTTTAACCCTTGATAACGCGTGGTTGATCAATTCACTTACCTTGGCAGCTACCTCAGCAACGATGGGCACATAGAAACTGAAGTCAGTTCATGCATTGCAAAGGTCAGAACTGTCTTCGTGAATCTGCGGCACCTTTGGCGACAGAAGGGAGTTTCCGCCCGTCTGAAAGGCCATGTATTCAAGGCTACAGTGAGGGCCGTTCTGCTCTGTGGTAGTAAGACTTGGCCTGCGGTCTGAAGATCTGAGGTGCCTTCAAGTCTTTGATCATCGTTGTCTGCGAAACGTTGCTGGTGTCGGATAGCAACAGCATGTCCGCAACGATGATGTGGGTAGGCGAGTACTAGGTAGTGATAATAACGCTAGCTCCTTAGAACAATAGATAGCACTGAATAAGTTGCGTTGGCTCGGGCACGTGCACGTATGCCTGGTCACCGCTTGCCTAGGAGGACTTCGTTTAGTCCGCCAGATGTAGGATGGCGCAAAGCTCGAGGTGGACAAAAGTTGACTTGGCAGTCGGAAATAAAGTCACTGACGACCAAACGGGGTGCCATTCGTTCTTCTCGCTTTCCGGGCTGGAGTTCAATTGACTCGCCTTGTGCTTGGCTCGAGAGTTTACAGAACATGGCTCGCAAACGACACCAGTGGTTTATCTGCTGACGTCTCCTAATCGGATTGCCTGTTTAAAGTGTGTTTGGTACTGAGTTATCTGCAGGGTAATGGCTGATTATGGCGCGTGGCAGTGAAAGCCGCAAGGAAGCTGTCTCTCCGATGCCGCCTTATCTATGCACGATAGCCAGTTGTTCGTGATGTATGTTGTCTACACAAGGTGTAGGCGTCTTGACCCAGAAATTTTGTTTAGGGTATTAAGGTTTTCAGGTAAATCCCCCTTTTCTCCCTCTTATTGTTCTTTATTTCAAAGGTCATCATGGTTGTATAGCAAGGAAGAATCATTTCAAATGCCTGACGTACTGCTGTTGTTGATATTTCCAGTTAAGTGCAACCCGCCATCCTGTACGGTGTTTTTGTGTAGAATTCCCTTACTTCTTTTTATTTTGGTCTGAATAGCTTGACTAGATAAAAGTGTTCTGTTCATTTGCGTGAAAACGCGCAAAAGTTTCAGAGTTTCGCGAGTGTAAACGATCATGTCACTAAATGGAGAACAAAATATTGAAAATTTAAGACAAATGGGTTGGATGCGGTTCCGAAAAGCTTGTTTGTAAGTAAACCCTTCGGATAGGAATTATGGAGTACGGCCAAATCCGAAGGGCCAGTCGCAATTGAGATGACAATGAAAATGGAGTCGACTCGACGTGTCGAAGACAGTGCTGCTGACTATCAGCCTTTCATTCTATGGACTGGTTCTTTCACTAGGGTCTATACAAAGGAAAACCGATGGGGAGTCCTAATATCAACTTCGTGTTCGTCAACCTGACGACTTCGCCATCAGAATACCAACATCTGCTAGCAACAGCGATTCTGAATCAAGCTTGGCGGCAGTGTGATGGAGTGGGCAACCGCTTCGCTTGATTCGTAAAGTGAAGGCTTAGTTCCTGTTACTCTCTTATGAGAATGAAGCCGGTCATGAAGCGTAGCGAGACCTAACCGCCTCGGACAAGGTTTCAGTTTCTGTGGTTCATACCGACATAACTCGCGGCCCAGATCGAGATTGCGTGTTGCAATCTATTCGCGCAATGGGTACCGTGAGCAAAGCAACAATGAAATCCAAACTGTTGTGACAAATACAGTAACGTGATGCGGTGGCGAATGCATATGCCGGGAAACTCTCCTCCCTGTGTTGAAGACAGATGCCAACTATCATTACGTTAAGGGCGAAACCAAATATGCGGTGCGATGCGGTGATAGGAGCGAGCAACGTCCAACACCTATTTATCACTGACCAGGACCCAGCAGCCGAGAAGCGCGGTTTACTTACAAGGAGTTGCGATGCAAAAGCACATCGCAAACTAATTCGACAGCCGAGATCACCGTTGATAAAATCACCTGGGGTCGGACAAATGTTCGTTAGCTAAAAGCGTGTTCACGGGATTCAGGGAAGATAATGATATCGCACTGAAGACGTAGCTAAAATGGATACAAGTGATTCGCCTCCGACGCTTTGGTTACTCGCTGTGTATTTTGAACGCGACCGCCATCTCCATCAACAACAGTACATTCGTAATTTGAGCAGATACTTCACAGCCACACAATCGTGGGGACCTAGGGAAAGATGAACATCGAAATGGAGAGAAGGGAACATGGCGTAAAAACCAATTGACTAAAGCAAACATGTAGGGCCAAACTGTATAAACCTTATCAACAATACACAGTCAGACAGTTGGCTATTAGGCGAGGGTAGGCCGACATAAGTGAGACAGCTTTCTTGCGACTTTCGGAGTCCCACGTCATAGTTATTGTCCTCGCTCCACAGACAACACAGCATGATATACAATTTCATAAAGCAGTCCAACTAGGAGACGACAACAAACGCGTCACTGATGCAGGCTGTGAGCCATGTCAAATCACAAGTCAAGCATAAGGTAGGTAGCGTGAACTTCAACGGCAGTATACCAGCACATCGTACCGACGGTTCGGTGTCACGCTAGTACCCCAGTTCGCGTGCGGACTGGCTATATTGCGGTCACACACACCTAGGAGGATTCGAACCGGTGACCTCGGGTTACAACGGAGGCGCGCAATCCATTCGGTCAAGGGTGTACTCAACCTGGAATGAGATACGGATCAACCGCAACGTCAAGTCAAATTTTGCCCGCCGCCCCCAGCCTCGTGCTAACAAAGGTCGGACAAGCAAAACAAACCTCTTCTGGGTATGCGGTGATTAGGACAAGTAGCGTGTGCTAAAATTGTCAACTGGCGCTCTAAGTAACTTATCCGAGTGTCGTCACCTATTACCCGCCGGTGCCATCCGACATCAGTGAAACTCCGCCCGCAACGATAATCAAAACTTAAAAGACGCATCCGATCCTTTGTACAGAAGGGGCCAAGTCTCATCCCTACAGAAAAAAGAACGACACGCACTGTGATCTTGAAAACATATATGCATACGATATCGGGCCAAATGCTACAAAGACGCAAGCAAAAGGGCTGAGGCAGGGGTGTCTGTAGGTATATATTCAACTTGATGCAAAAAATAAGGATAGCAAAAATAAAAATGCGAAAACATTCCCTAAAACCCTGAAGAAAATTGGAAGTGAAATTCTGACAACCATAAATCCAGCACACAGACAGGTGTGTGGAGAAATGCAATCAAAGGTTGGCCGAAAAAGCAAACAAATGCCACCATGCAGCTCGTGGTGCTCAACCATCATGTTCATGAGTGAATTTGAAGGAAGACAAGCGGTTGGAGGCTTTCGAGGCTAAAGAAGATGATTTTCGGCTGCTGGTCTTTTCGTCAGCTGCGCAGGTGACGCTGCTAAGAATGGGAGACAGGTTCTCCTTCTCTTGCGTACCAAACCCGAAACCTGAAGCGCCATTTGCCTTCGATTTAGGGTCAGCAATCGACTAGACAAGTGATAAGAGAGAGAAAACAGAGTTACGTGAATCTGAAGCCGAAAAGGTATTCGATAAAGCAACTCAAAACATAGCAGACGACACTGACCTCCAGTCAAACTACTAGACTGGCAACTTCGAGTCAACACGAGCAGTTGCGGCACAATCGATAGTGGGGTGAAAATTGACGAGGAGTGAACTGAGATGGTAAGATTGGAGAATGAAACACCTGGGTCCTCTCAACAAATTAAAAAGCGAAGGAAGAAAGGCCAAACGACCTTGCGTCGGTTCACTAAGGCCGTGTACAAAAAGCTATAAGTGTACTAAGCAGCGGGGAGTGTAAATAATCAAGGGTGGATGGCAAAGTGGTAGCCATTATGTCTAAGAAAGTTTTAGGAGTTTCAATGCAATGAAGTATAGAGTCAAACCGGGTTCAGATTAGCCATATGTCTACAATGCGGAGTGAGCCAGACTAGAAGAAGTTTTCGTGCTGGAAGCAGAGGTAAACTTTCAAAACGAATAGAGAGAAAGTTACGAACATAATGGTTGGCCAATTCTTTAATGTATCAGGCCAGAGAAAAAGATAGCAAACAGTGGAATGATTAAAATCGTCCTCCGAATAACGCTGAGCAATGGAGTCTTTGGATTAAAATGAAAAGCGAATAAAAATAAGATAAAAAGGATAAGAAGGAAATATGCCGATAACTGAGGGGTGGCAAGTCCAATCGGACAACCGGTGGCGAAATTAAGGCGGTGACAATCTCCCTAGTGGATGGCGTTGGACAACGCGCTTAGTAACGTCTGTGGTGAAATGGTATAGAGTAGTTCACTCTTCTGGCCTGTAATTACATGCTGATTTCTCGTGCCCTTATCTAATCATCTTGCGGATTCGCACAGTCTGATGCTATCGCCACGAATGGGATAGATCGAAACACCCGGTGGAAAGGTACAAGCGATTAGGGGATTACCGCTGGCTTCATAACTGGTGCTATCAATGTAGCTAACTCGTCCAGCCCCATTTTACATTAGTTCATTTAACATCAGCATGTTATGCCAGATCGGCCGGCAGGCGGCGCACTCTCCAACTTCCCAATTCCCTGGCAACGAAACACGCATACAATTTTGCAGAGCTGCAATGGAACTCCGGCTTCCCGGTTCAACATTTAACGACAATGGCCACACTCACAGCGCACGTAGTAACACAAAGCCAAGTTAAATATGTTGCCAGCATTGCCATCACAGCACAAATCACACGAATGAATTCTAGTGGATAGTCGCGTTGGCGTGGTACAATTTAGGACACTTACAGGGGTTAGTCAGAACTATCTGGAGATAAAATAGACTTTTCGGTATGTGCCCCAACAAGTCGCAGCTCGAAGGTCATCAAAGACGATTTCTATCAGAGAAGCTCCCACCTGTAGCGGTCTGGTAATGAATATAGACATACATGTAGATGAAGGTGAAATGAATAACCAAGTACATTGCCTAAAAAAGTGTAAACAACGACTGCGAGGGTGCTTCCGAGTAAATACACGTTATCGGTTCGTTCAACAATGCGCGGACAACAACTCCACCTTCCAACAGAACCGTTCATATTGAATCACCCGGCGCCCACCGAATTCAACGACGACTGCATGTGAGTCGAAACTAGAAGATAAACGATTTTGAGGGCATGCCAAGAATTGGGGGTTGAAAATGGGGGATAAAAGTGAAGTTGGAGGAATGAGAAGATAGGAATGTCTGAGTAGTAGCATCCTCAGCTCTATCCACCTTGCTCTAGGAGCAGCAAACAGGGCACCGTTGATTATCCCTCTGCGAGTCAAAGCATCAATAGGACGTGCAGAGATAAGTTCATTTAGCAGCTCCACACTTTCAAAGTTGGCTCCGGTGAAAGCAGTTTCCATGACTTCGTCGCTGGCGAGGTTAAAAAGGAGCGGTGATAGCGGGGATCCTTGTGATACATTGCTGAAGATATTAAAGGGCGGTTGTAGATTGCCATAAGCGCTCATCCTGCCCTAACTAAGCGCATAAAGCGTTATGATAACGTTTACGTATTTCTCGGTCACAGCATTTTTGACCAAACAGTGACCTACCAAATCGAAGGCTACGTTGATGTCGAGGAATACGACTACAGTGGGTCGCCAATGTAAGCGGTGATGCTCCAACAAAAGACCTGGAGTTAAGATGTGGTCAATGTAGTCTCGATTTCGACTGCACCTGGCTTGCGCTTCACTAACCTGGCTCTCACGGATACCATTCAAGCTGAGAAGAACGACAGAGGCAAATAACATGAGGCGCCGTTAAAGGTCGGGACAAAAATGCAGCTGGTCAAGTCGGCTGGGATAGTTGCCTGTTCTCATAGTATCACTAACAAATTGTGTAAATCATCCACAAAAGGTCTTCGGGATTTGAAGAGGGTTGGAGGAAGATCATTTTGTCCCACGACCTTATTCAACTTCAGCAGTCCGATTTCACAATCGACCCGTGCGCGAGAAGGCGAATCCAATGCGAAGGTGTTGGGAACAGAGCGAGCAACGGCTGACAGCGAATCTATTACTTTCAGTCAATGAAATTGACCCAAGCGTTTTGAAGATTGTAGATAGGCTGTCCTCTCTCGTCGCATACGGCCTCGCTCATTCCAAATCTTTTGCTGCCGTACCAGGTCGGTATCTGAACACAACGAATCTTTATAATTCGAATTATAAAAGATAGTGCGAGAATATGATAATACGTAACTCAGCAAAATGCTGGGTCCCAATACAACATCATCCTCGCCATAGTCGTCATCAACACCAACATCTATAGTACATACGTATGCCGTACTGACAAGTCGATTACAGTGGCGCTAATTGTGTGCAACAAGACAGCAGAATAAAGATTCATAATAAAACTTTAACACCTTAGGCAAGCCCAACAAGATAAGAGAGCACATATGTTGCGAACGTCAAACATTCACACAGTTGGATACCAAACGAAAATAAGGTGGCTTGGGAGAGACAGCTTCATTGCTCCGCGTCACAATCAACCTCATACCAAAGATAAATCAGTTTCAGACATAATCCGAAATTGAAAGCAATGCTGTAACTACCGTTTAATGGGGACGATGTAAGCCAAGTATTTCAACAAGACTTGAAATCCGCAGTTGCGCGTGTGTAACGCGTGACACAACCGGTATTACTGTACACAACGACTCGCATCCCAACTCCGTCAGTTAGGCCACCAATACCTCTGTCCAATCGCTCACACGTCCTTTACCAATTTACAAGTGATTGCAAGCCCAACTACGTGGGTATGACAGAGCGTCAGCTGCAGGTGAGAATTGCGGGACACGTTCTGAAGAGGGTGAGACGGCACGTCTCGCAAACGATCTCAACCATTGCCCTAAGTGTTAAAGACTGGCCCTAAAAAGTTCCAGGCTTGTCAATCGCCCGACACCTGCTGACAGACAGACACAACGTGGACCGTGCGCGCACATTTCGGGTGATCTTCGCGTCATATAACACCCACGTTTTACGATAAGGCGAAGCGGTGACCATCAAACAACTGGGCCCCAACCCATGTGTACAAAAGGATGCGTTCGTCACATTGGCTCTGCTGTGGTAGTAAGCCAGCTGATAAACGAACAAGTGTGTGAGTGTTTGTTTATGTGTGTGTGTGTGTGTGTCGGTGTATGCCCTTTGGTGAATTTTCTATCAAAACTATCCAAGATGTTCCTGACGCTATGTACATATGTTTGCACGCAATCTGCAGTACGCATTTGATACTATGCAGAGAAAAATTTCCGGATATAAAAGTGCGGTCCTATCATGCTAGCGTACTTGTTGACAATCTAAATAGGTAGTCCAGTTCGGGAACCAGCGGAAACAACACTGGCACCGGTTGCGAGCCATGTCATATAGTGTTTCGAACTAAGCACAAAGTGGATTGCGCGAACCCTAGCCTGTAATACGAAAACGACCAACAGCTCCCAGTTTGGTTGCCTATGACTTCATTCCCAGCCGCCGCCGAGTAAACTGCTGCCAAGCTGTAGTAAACGGCGGACCAAACGGGGTTATATAAAAAGTTACACATTATTGAGGTGACAATGACGATATAAAAAGTAGAACAGGTAGGCGCCCTTACCTTGCGGAATTTCAATCTGGCAGTGCGTAATAGCTCTTCGGCAGACTGTTCAGGATACTGCTCTTCTAACTGTGCCCGATTTTCATCAAACCAGTCCATGAAATGCGTTGACGACCTTGGTGGAAAGAGAACGAGGAGTGAGCAGAAGTGTCATGTCATAAAAAGCGAGCGAGCGATCGCGTGCTACACCTACTCGGTTGAAGTACGCTGCGTCGGTGCGGAAGCGCCTGTTTTCGAAGACTTCGTGGTGAGACGTTTCTTGGGTTGCTATGAGTACAGAGAAAAGAAGTGGAATTAATAAGCACAGAAGGTAATGTGTAAAGTACTACAAAGTACCCGACAGATAGATTGCTGTTACTATGAATGGATACATCGGGACAATCAACATCGGCTGTTTACTGTCAACCAGATATGGCTGCTCTCCTGAGTATAGCTGCGACGAATCTTCACAAAAAACCCAATAGATCCCCATACTACTTACTAATAAGCAGTAATCGCCTTAGCAGCCTATATGCTATCTCGATATGTGGTGGCTTTCTAGCCCATAGGCAACAGTTACATGACCTGCGTTCCTCCAAAAGAACTGATATTATCATTCTTGCCGGAGACTTTAGCGCATGGGGGCCGCCTTCCACCAAGCGAGCACAAACTTAGGGGTAGTTTGGGTCTCGGTAGCAGTCGATCAGAAAATGGTGACTGCTTTCTCATTGCTCTGATCAGCGTTTGTTTCTTTCGATTACGAGTTTTCGACACTAGAAGAGACAGACTGCTACCTGGCGCCCCCACACAGACGCAAGTGGTCGTAGCTTGACCATATAGCAATCAGCTACCGATGGCGCGGAAGCGTAACGGACTGCCGATCGTACTGGTCAACTTATCTAGACTCCGATCACGCATTGGTTTGTGCAAAAAATTTGTATGCGTTTCGGAGGATCACCCAAACGCGCTCACTACCGACCGGAAGTTGCAAAGCTACAAGAGCCTGCGATTTTAACCAGGTACCAAGCCTCACTGTCCACCTTGCTTTGCTCAACTATTGACAGTGGTCTCGATTCGCAGTGGGCGCAGATCAAAGTTCCCGCCAGTACCGACACTTGTGGAGTTGTTCGTCACCCACCGAAGCATTGGATTTCCGCCGTCTCCTTGCCGCTGATGGACAAACGCCGATTGTTCCCGTCGGATTTCAGCAATGGTGAAGAACGCCAATCCCTGGGTCGAGAGTTGCGCAGGAGTCTGCAAATGGACTGTGAAGCATGGTGGCGTGAACGAGCTAGAGAGATGGAACTTGCGAGTTTCTCTGGTAATACCAGAAAACTTTTCCATCTCATCCGAGTAACCGAACGTGTTCGATCTTGTATAAGTGAAACAATATGCGAAGAGGATGGCATCGTAATCATCAATCTTCAACGACGGTTGAAGCGGTTGGCCGAACATTTTAGCTCGCAGTTTTGTTGACCTCCAGCTCCATCTGCATTCTCTGGCGCTCGCACTGTTGCCGAGTGGTCTATCCCCACTTGTGTCCTGGTAAGGTAAGTTTGGTTTCACCACGAGCCGCTTCCCAATACGCAGCTGACCATATAACAGCTGCTTCGGTGTCCGCGTCGAATCCATACGGCTCACATGACCGATCCACCTCAGGTGTCTCAGTAAAAGTATGCAGTCCACTGCATACAGCCCACTTCGGCGCAACACTTCCGTGTCTGCAACTCTGTCGCCCCAGCCGATGCGCAAAATCCGGCGGAGACACTGCTGATGGAACCGCTTGAGATATCGCACATCTCGCCGGTACATCGTCCACGTTTCACTGCCGTATAGAAGAACGGACAGTACCATGGATATGTACACCATCAGCTTCGTGCCAATGGTAAGCTGGTGATTGTTCCACACTCGGTACTCTAGCTTCCCGAATGCCGCCGCTGCCTTCGAGACGCGGATACGCAGCTCACTGTGGAGCTGCTAGTCAATCGATATCACACTCCCAAGGCAGCAGAAGCCGGAGGTAGTTTCCAATACTTTAGCACCAATGCTGATTCGAGGCAATATTGAAGGTTGAACCTCCGGTGAAGAATGAGACAGACAGTTTTGTTTGTGTTGATGGTGAGCTCGAATTTGGTCATTGTCGAAGCCAGAACACTAGTCATGTGCTGCAACGCATCCGCCCTGTGTGCAAGCAACGCACAGTCGTCAGCCAACAGCAACCTACGGATAGTTGTCTCACAGACTAGGGTTCTTGCACTGAAACGACGGATGTTCAGCAACCCACCATCAATACGGTGCACCACACGAACACCGTAAGGACTAGCAGAATCAGAAGCACTTTATATATATATATATATATATATATATATATATATATATATATATATATATATATATATATATCTTTATCACCACTCATGAAAGAACACAGTGTCCGAACATAGAAAGGCGTGTGTGTGTAACGGACTCAAAGGAATACTCATTAATCTTTGGAATAGTCGGCTATTCGCACGGATTTCACTGGGGGATCGCGTTAGCTCCAGGCTACCAAGTGCTTGTTGCTTACAATATCCCATATTCGTTCTTACGTTCGAGTAAAGAATTTGGTGCACTGATCTACAGTTGTTCCTGGAGCACAAGCACTTTACAACGCTTCCTCGTTTTGGAATGCGGTTTGGAAGTTCGGGGTTCAAAGCCCAACAAATTTGTTGCAAGTGTCCAGGTTGGCTCATCCGTGTACAGTGAACAATCCCGGTAAGTGAATGTTATGATGCTGATACTGCATGTTCTGTTCCACATGTTAGCCCTATTTCCCGTTGTTCATCCGTCATACTAAACTTAGGTGCGCATATGAAAAGGCGGCTACTACCCAGGTTCGAGGCTGAAGCGCAAGGGCGCCTGCTGGAATTTGAAATAAAAATGGCCAATCTTCTGAATTGACTTAGAAGTAGGTAAGTTCAGCTGTCGCAATGAGGCTGGACCTTACCGTGGTGCGATGGTTTGCGTACCTCAGAGATCCATTGTGCTTTGCTGGGTGGTGCTTTTTTCACCTTCAGAGTCACTCATACCAGATTGGTCAATCGTTAGAGGCCAGACAAACTCAATCTCTTGGCCCTCCAGGTTGGGGGTTGGAATGAAGGTGGCTCCTTATTCCTTAAAACGGACTCCTTGTAGCTCAACGCCAAACCTGCTGCCTTGTGGTAAGGTTTTTGAACCAAAGGCTTTGGTTGAGAACCCTAATCGTTCTCCTGTCTAGGCCTAGGCAACCTGACAGTATCCTGCCCACGCAATACAATGAATTTCTCTTCAAACAGTTTCTTGACGCCCTGGCCACCGCAGAGGATAATCAACGGTGCCCTATCCGCTGCATCGAGCAGGGTGTATAAGAGTTTGGATCCTACTGCTCAAGCCTTCCCATCTTCTTATTCCCCTTCTTGCGCTTTTTCACCCTTATCGTCCCGTTCCAGCTTCACATTTATCCCCCATGTTCTCAACTCCCCAATGCTTGGCCCTCCCCCACCTTGCTTTGCTAGGATTTTACCTTCTAGTTTCAACTCACATGGGAGCGCAGAGTGTCATTCCTGTCCTGTCCACAAGCTTATGTCCAACTAAGCAGCCAAGCCAAGTTCATCGGCTCCCATTTGGAGCCCTTGATCCTCCTTCAGATTGGCATGCCTCAATGTACGCACATTGCTACAGATCGGTCAACAGGCAGCACTTGCGTGAACATTAGAGACACTCTCTATCAATATCTGCTACTTATCGGAGACCCGCCTGCAAGACTCGAGCTCTGTGCTCACTCTGCGATCCCCTTCAGGTGACACCAGCAATATTTTCTCATTGCGCCTATCCGGTGACGACGCAGCTTCGAGCACCGGCCAAGCCGGTGTTGGCATTGCCCTGAGTCCCCGGGCTGAAACTGCTCTAGTTGACTGGATTCCAATCAGTAGCCGGTTGTGTGCGGTCCGATTGGCTGCCTCGTTCAAAGTTTCGAAGCCGCGCGGGACTAACAGGTGTCTATTCGTTATCGCTGCCTATGCACCCACAAACTCTAGCGAGGATTCGGTAAAACACGACTTCTATCGCCAATTGAACGAGCTTCTTCGCCAGAGAAGAAGCTCGGACACTGTTGTGCTGGCTGGGGATCTGAACGCTCAAGTTGGAAAGTTGTCCACTGATGACCTGCATCTGAGCGGCCAACATGGTGTAGGCTCCCGTAATGATAACGGTGAGCGGTTACTTCATTGGTGTGAAGATACTCGCTTATTTCTTGCGAGCACCAATTTCAGACACAGCACCCGCCGGAGGGTGACTTGGCGCCCACCAGCGTCGAACCAGCTATGGATGCAAATCGATCACATTGCGATAAGTTACCGATGCAGAGGCTGCGTCCAGAACTGTCGTTCGATTTGGAGCACAGGTGTGGACACCGACCATGCACTTTTATGTGCTGACCTACGGATGCACTTTGGCGGGCGCCCAAGAGGACGCTGTGAGCGCATTGACATCAGCCAACTGGCGAAACCAGCTGTTTTGAATGCCTATCAAAGTACGCCGTCATGGGAGCTGAGTAAGCGCTCACTGAATGCAGTTGAAGCTCACTGGTCTCATATTCACCAGTCCTTACTAGCAGCAGGAAAATCCTCATGTGGTAAGTCTAATCGCCAACATGGACATTGGGTCTCTTCGCAGTCTCTGGAACTTATCGATGCTCGCCGGCATATTCCGGCTGGAAACAAACACAATGAAACTCGCAAAGAGCTCCGATCAAAACTCCGTGGTAGCCTGAAGAGAGACCGCGAATCCAGGTGGTCTCATCCTGCATTGGAGATGGAAATGGCTGCTGCCCTTGGTAACCATCGCAAGTTATTCCATCTGATACGGGAAACGGGCAGCAGAAGACCTGGGGTTAGTGACACGATATGCGACGAGAGTGGACAGCCTATCCACAACTTGTCAAAACGATTGGAACGTTGGGCTGAGCGCTTTGAAAGGCAATTGAACCGATCGGGATTGTTAGATTTCTCGCCGGCCACTGATCGCCCCCCTCCCTGGGCTGTCCCTTTGGATCCACCTCTCGCTCAAACGTGAGATCGGACTGTTGAAGTTAAAAAAGGCGCGGGACCATGTGATCTACCTCTAGCCCTCTACAAATTCGGGGGACCAGATCTGGTGGATGATTTATACGCGTTAGTAGTGAAACTGTGGGGTAGAGTGTACAATGCAGCGGTACGTTCGACCTTAATGTACGGTTGCGAAACCTGGCCCCTAAGATCGGCGGACATGAAGAGGCTACTTACGTTCGACCATCGGTGCCTTCGCAGTTTGGCTCACATCTGGTGGGAACACCGCGTGAGTAACGAGCGTGTTCGACGCCTTGTTTACGGCACAGGAAAAGGGAATGAACCGCTCAGCACCGTCATTTCACTCACCAGGCTCCGGTGGCTGGGCCACGTGTTGCGCATGCCAGCCCACCGACTCCCTCGACGTGCGTTGTTTGCTCACCGGGGATGTGGGTGGAAGAAGAGGAGAGGTGGCCAAGCGATGACTTGGTCCAGAGGAATGAAGGCCCTCACTTCGGAGCTGGCCTCAGTTGGAGCTTCACGGCTCCCTGGTTGGGGTCCAAAAGACGGTGAACACGTTTGGCTGGATACACTTGCTGATATGGCAAGGAGCCGACCTCAGTGGCGTTCATTCTGTGAGTTTCTTTGTCCCTCACCATCCCTTTGGCCTCCCCCTCCATCTACGATCTTATTTCATAGGGTAAAACGTAATTACATTTTTGTTTTTGCCTAGTAGCCGGCTAGTAGCTTACCGGAACAATGCGTATCCGTTGCTGGTAGCTCAGCTGGCATTCAACTGTCGTATTTATTTTTCCTTCATGTATTGTATGTATGTATGTATTTCCTTTATGTATTGCGGTACCATAGCGGAGGTGTTTTACCATCTCTAGCTGACATGTATAATGTTGATTTTTTTGTTGACCGGTCAAATTCTGCTGCCTAGGTACGTGGGGATTCTCAAAGAACGATTTTTGCTCAATCTTAAGCATGGACAGGTAGCAATACCACATATTTGCTGCTTACGGACTCGTTGCAGGACAACTACCACAGTACTACATCAACTTTGTCCCGCTGCCCACTGTCAATCATACGGCTTTCTAAAGAGTGTTCACACTGTTTTGCAAATGTCCAAGACGTAGCCTAGCTGTCATCCAAGTACTCAGCCCTCTGTACATACCGCGGTATATTCCGTTGAATTCAGCCGGATGTGGCCGCTATGCAACCATGATTGCTCTCCGCGGTCTGCATGCTTTGGTTCCATTTTTTTCAAAATATTGTCATGCTCCGCACGATCAACTCTCCCTCTCTTATGCGTTCGATTGAATATTACCAATCCACGATTGTTGGGCGTGTCTCATAAATACTGATGTGTCAGTATAGAAGCCCCTGCTTTTGTGGGCAGTTTCCCATTACACACATGGGCTCCAGTTGTTAAGGAGACACACAACTGCATATGTTTTTCTAACTTTGAGAAGTTTGAGTTCTCTACGCTTCCCTTTGAACTTTGGTTCTTTCCATACCACACCGATCTCTGTGGCATCTTTGTGTTTGCTTATATATATATATATATATATATATATATATATATATATATATATATATATATATATATATATATATATATATATATATATATCGTAGTCTTGTGCCCCGTGCTGAGGCTGATGTTGCATCCATGATGCTCCTTCACCGCAGTTGGGCTAAACCAACTTTCACTTAAACTAGGTCTCCTTTTAAGCTGAATAAATTTCATTCCACGTCATTTGATCTGTTCTGCCTACCGGAATAATCTTCTATTAAATTTCCACATTGCTTAGGGCAATAGTGCTTATCTTCGTTAACTTTATTGCGTTTGTTGCATTTTCTGAATCACTTCTGGACATTTTTACTTATCACGGATTCGCTGCTGACCAACTTACTTCATATGCTAGTTTAGAGAAGAGCTAAGTCTGCATAGCCGTATTCCTTAACAGATATATTATATTTGTTACTGTTATTTCAAGTGATTGGCTGTTGTTTGACATCCCCGGTGTGGCTGGGCTTAATGTGCACGTTGACAACCTGTCTACCTGTCTATTATACACTACCTTGTCCATACTGTCTCTAGGATACAGTTGGTCGTTGCTGGAGGCGACGGGGTGCACGGTCTACGTGGCCGTGCTAGGCTGAAAGAGTGGTTGCATGCACTCAGTATGGAGCGGACTACGGTCCAGCCACCGCCTTGTGTGCGCTTGATTTCCCAAATACAACGTGCTTGTGTTTGCCTGTGAAGGAGTGTGGGCCTGCTCCGTTGATGAAACGTGGCTCCCATCCCCATGCCTCCCGGTCTTATTCCTTCGGGTTTACACTGGATATGGGATGTGTGGTTGGAGCTGTGGGTGGTGCAGCGCAAGCCACCCATGGTCCCTCTGTAGGCGCAGGCGTCCTGTGGCTGGCCACAGTGACAGGCAAATCCGAAACCGGATGCCGCCAACCAGATATATATATATATATATATATATATATATATATATATATATATATATATATATATATATATATATATATATATGGTTGGCGGCACCAGGTCTCATGCTGCCCGTTTCCCGTATCATCCGGAATAACTTTCGATGGTTACCAAGTGCAGCGGCAATTTCCATCTCTGTTGCACGATTAGACCACCAGGATTCGCGTTCAGGCTAGCACGGAGTTTTGCCCGGAGCTCTTTGCGAGTTTCATTGTGTTCGTTTCCAGCCGGAATATGCCGGCGAGCCTCTACAAGTTCCAGAGACTGTGAAGAGACCCAATGTCCATGTTGGCGATTAGACTTACTACATGAGGATTTTCCTGCTGCTAGTAAGGTCTGGTGAATATGAGACCAGTGAGCTTCAATTGCATTCAGTGAGCGTTTACCCAACTCGCATGACAGCGTACTATGATAGGCTTTCAGAACAGCTGGCTTCGCCAGTTGGCTGGTGTCAATGCGCTCATAACGTCGCTGTGGGCGTCCGCCAAAACGCATCCGAATGTCAGCACATAAAAGTGCATGGTCGGTGTCCACACATGTGCTCCAAATCGAGCGACAGTTCTGGACGCAGCCTCTCCATCGGTAATTTATCGCAATGTTTGCGATCGCGGTTTGCGTCCATAGCTGGTTCGAGGCTGGTGGGCGCCAAGTCACCCTTCGGGGGATGCTGTGTCTGAAATTAGTGCTCGCAAGAAATAAGCGAGCATCCTCACACAAATGAAGTAACCGCTCACCGTTATCATTACGGGAGCCTATACCATGTTGGCCGCCCAGATGCAGCTCATCTGTGGAGATAAACAAAGAGGTGGTTCGAGCTACGGGGCCGTATGACGTCCACACTATCCTTCATCAATAGCCTGGTAGAAGACATCTGAAAATGAGCTTGCCTGCTGCCATTCCTCGGTGGCTTCACTAAAGCTTTTTCACTCGAAGGAATCCAGAGATCACGTGTTGACATACTGGACATCCCGATTATGCAACGAACGCACTTTACGCTCGGAATCACCCAGGCACTTGTGGAGAAATGCCGAAAGAGCCACAACAGTCCAGCTAAAATCGTTCCGAAAGTTAGTATATTAAACGAAGGGGTTAGAACAGCGCATCAGAGCGGCTTCGTATAAAAGAGAAGGGGTTTTTCAAATCGTAGGTTAAACAAATGGTCACATACAGGATCATACATACTTGAAGACATTTCAGTGTGAAAAATACCCTTGATTACCCGTGGAAACACCAGGCGACGCTCTTCCAACCATGCATGGTAACCGGCATCCGGATCTAAAATGCACACTTTTAGCAGAAACGAACTGACAACGATTTGACCAAAGCGCACTTTTACGCAAGACAGAGGCTGTGCAATGATCCAAGATTGCTAAGAAGTTAAGCACGCAGCCTGGGAGTTTAGACAATAAGGTTCATCGGTTTCCGGTTTGACAATCGCGTCTACGATTCGGTTACAACTACATGGTGGTATCAGCCAGGTGCTGAACCATGGAAACGAGTTGGTTCGTCAAGTTCTGTCTCTGATAACCCTACCACAAAGGCATTTTTGATCAGAAACACATCATGGTTCCATCGCCTGGCAGTCTCCGAACGAGCAAATGGTTGTCGAAAAGTGGCGACGTTGGAATTGAACAACGGTGATAGATTTAGCGGCGAAGAGCAAATGACTAAACAACAACACATAAAGAACTGATGGAGCATGATTACAACAGAGTTAGTGTAACCTACTGAAAGCAACCACAAAATGTATGGAAAAGGCTTACTTCGGTAGTGGGCGCTCCGGAACGTTTTCTACTAGAGCGACTGGGACCTTTCGTGGACTGAAGCTTGCTAATGTTGTTGGATGCAGATGAATCCATCTGTTTGGGCCTCCAACTGTCAAGTATCTCGCTGCCGCGACCAAGTGCGGTTGAAGAGGAACTCATTCGATGATTCGCCGAGGCGGACAAATGCGATGAAGACTCCTGGGTGTAGAGAGAAGGAAGATTGCGACACGTCACAAACGCATGAGGTGCAATGAGACAAACAGAAAGGGTGTATTTCTCGAAATAGAGGGAACAAGTCCACTACGTAGTCTGATCAATTGGTACAGCGGGATCGCGTAAAACAGTTTTCTGAGCTGATTCCCGAGCATGTTTTCGAAGTGATCGATCATTCTAGTACATTAGCGAAACCGGAACGTTGATAGCAAGTAATAATGCAACGAAATGTTTAAGTGAAGTAATACGGCCACCTGTGGGACCGTATTTTGGGAACTTGTTTTCCTGCAAGTTAATACCTTAAAAGAGTACACCCACACTATCACGCCTTTGCCGGTCACGTGCCGGTGTGGCTTAAAAGCAAGCAGGCTATCACCCATTTAACTCACTTTTAGGAATATTACTATAAGCACACAATTCATACAGAAAATTACAGCGTTCCGCACGGTTGAGTCGAATACCTTTACTACCTACCAGCGCGTCTATGGTAATTCACCTTGGAATGGCGTATTTATTATTTTGGAAGCTTCAATCCGTCAACTCATGAGACTGGCCCATTCGTGGACAACAGTGAAAAAAGAAAAGTATGGAAATATAATGGAATGATAACAATATTAAATAACTGTGGCGCAGTTCAACGATTTATCTGATTCAGAACAGAAGGATCGTAGAAAGTAATCAAGCGTACGAAATACAATGAGGCTCTAAAGGGAATTTGCACATAGCAGTCAAGAAGCAAAGTAGCTGATGTCGAAATTGATTTCATAGGACTTCACGGGTATGTTCGCGGTGTGTACAGTTTAGAACCAAGGTTTGGGTGTTGACAACTGTGGTTGGGCAGCGTTGATTTGTTTTTTTTTGGATGGAAGGCATTTGAGTTCTGCAAAGCAATTCTTATCCAGGCTACAAACAAGGGAGGAAGTAATCATCTTGCACGAATCAAATGAGAGCAAAAAGGTGAGTGTAAGAGAGAGCAAAGCATCCATGACGGATTAGGGACACCGCTTGTGAAAATCATGTCCATGGAGAGAAATACATGGAAATTAGGTTTTGAGTGTTTAGGCATTTATCAAGAGAAAAAGTAAACTGCTACATTGTGTAGGTAGTCCTGGTGGCCATCAGAAGTTTGTTCCCGAATGTTGAGTGCTCAAACAGAAAAAAAGTGTTCGCTGATTTCAGCAGTAACATTCGGAAGCCTGATTTTGAGCCCCTTACTGGCGTTGTAAGACAGAACATTATCGACTGCAGTATGCAAGGCGGTGTGCAATTTTGAATAAACGCCAAAGGAGATCAAGTCCAAGAGCGCAGCAGCGTTTTCTGCATGGCATTTTCGTGGAACCTCCAACCACTTGTGAAACATCTCTGTACTCTCTCCAGAGCAAGCTGATCTGCCTTTCGTGGACTGAGCAGCACTCCACAGTTCGTAACACATGCTCCATATAAATGAATCGGTGAAACAGAAATATCGACAAAAATGTCCTTATAGTTCTCGTGTCTTTGATAGTCTAAAGTCACATTACTCCGAAAAGTAAAACGTGGTCGAATATCGCACACCAAAGTTGCGAACAACCCAACACTGAGGGGCCTGTTCCATATATCAAAAGGCCGTTTCGTGACACTTCGCATTTGTAAGACAGGGTATTACATTTTGTCGACGGTAAAAGAAATTTGTCACATGCTGCACCAAGATGTAAGTGCACAGAGATCGTCCTGCGTGCGTTGCACAATTTCTTGGTTGTCTGCACAAGTTTGTGAGTAGACAACTTTAATGACAACAGTGAAGAGGAATACAGTACCATTCTTTATACTCTGAAGTACATGAATTACGTTGATGAGGGACAGTAGGGGACCAAGGACACTCCGTTGATTAACCCCGCTGGTGACCGCCTTAGGTTTTGAAAAGTTGTTTCCAATGTGTACTACGTGGTTTCTTTCGGTAAGATAGGATGATAACCAAAAAAAGAAAATTTCCGACATCATTCGCGTTAATTATGCTGAGTAACATCTGGTGAGGTAGCCTGGTAAAAGCTTTTCGAATATTCAAGAAGAACACTTACCGTTGTCTATGATTGTCGCATGGCAGGTTGCACAAGACCGAATTTATAAAAACCCATACTGCGACTTAGTAGTGTTGTCATTATTGGAAAAGCTGAGGAAGTTTCATAGGATCCTCTAAATTACTCTAGAAATTATGAGCGTGCGATTAGTGGGACGAAAAATTTTGCTTGACCGCAAAGTCGTTTGAACATCGTTCAATCACCTTGCTAACGAATTGCTGGTATAGAGAAAGGAAAGGTGGGGCTGAGACAACAGTGGACAAAGTTCGGAAGTCCGACTTTCTAACAGTTTTCATGAGTAAGGGATTTTTGGTGCAATTAACTGAGAGTTCATTGCGCCAGCTTTCAAATCAGATGGTCCTCCACAGGCCCGGAAAGGCAAAGACTACACTTTCGACCTGTTGGGCAACATCAGTAGTGCGCATCCATCAGGAACCGAACCTTCCACGACCACCAGAGGATTGCATCGACAGTCAGCAGCTTATGCCACTTGGACATGTGGGACAGTGTCGGACTAACTGATTTGGAAGCTGGTGTGACGAACTCTCAATTAATCTCCAATAGTTGCCCAGCCACACAGCCTTATACCCACCCATCCACCCACTCACGGAATATGCGAAGGCCGAAGGGGAAACCTAGTCATCGCCTTTGGTTGAGGCTCACAATCAAAGGAAGAGCTTGCATTAGCACCCACTGCTTAAACAATTCGGTTGCATTGTCTTAATCGCACTGTGGACTGAACATCGCTATTACTCTTCATTTCTTGCTGACAAATTGCAGATTTTCTGCTTAGAATACAGCATGTCCAATTTGGTTTTCGAAACGTTCAATTTAAAGTGAAAATGGTATATTTGAACAGTACACCTCAGCTGCATTCCAACGCTAGCATCAAAGGTGTTATGTCAGCTTGGTTGTTACCTAGTGCCCTGTATATGCATCTCACGGGTAATTGCTGGGTGGTCAAGCGTTGCTGTAGTTAAGGATTGTTTTCACCTAAAATATGCAACCACTACCCTGGCGTATTTGACGACTTCCCATAAACCTGTTATATCCTGATATGGACAACTGATTATCAGCGATATCATCACTGCGCCAAGACTCATCTACAAATATCAGGATTTGTCATCCGAACAAATGAGCGAAGCACGTAAACTTTAGAGTAAAAAGAACATTAAATGAAAAGGTCTAAAAAATGTAGCGAACAAAGGTAGACTTATAGAGCACTGTGCATTGCTGGAGTAGAAGCCGTGAATTTGTCCCAAAGCTAGGAGTTGTTTAAATACGGCATACATTGTCATGGTTGCAATAAGATGAGCAGGAATTGACCATAATGAAGGCGGGTATAACTGAGGATAACCCTTTTGAAAATGGCGAAAGGACGATTGCCAGCTGCCACGTATATACCGCATGAAATGGCTAACCGTGCAGAATGCGGATCCCCGATTCTGGTACCCATCACTGTCTGTGAGTTACAGCCTCGACGCGGAAAGATGAAACAAGGGTGGGGTTACTGAGTTCGCCTATCGAACAGCACAGCGGGCATGTATGTTAGCGCAACTACCGTCCAAAAACAAAACGAATACCAGGAATGCAAAGAAGAAAAAGAGAACTAATAAATGGGTTATCAATATGGACCTCGATTAGGACACAAACCTATTCGAAATATGACGTGACAATAGACAGCGACATGTGGTCATCAAACCTCTGGGCTAGAAATGCTCCCAAACAATGATATTTCCCCATCGAAGACAACCCGGACCCGTAAAGCAGCCACAGTGCAGCTTTTATTACCATACTTTCCAAATAACTCAGTATCGGATATGCCTTAAGTAAGCAGCCTGGCTGGATGGCGGTAAACGCGTCTCTGGTGCAGATTGCGAACCATATGACGTTATGTCAGAAATCAAGCATAAGGTGAGTTGCGTGGGCTCAAGCCTGGAAGGTTAGACGAACTGAAATGCCCAGTTTATCTACCTCTGTCAAGTTAACGGTTGATTTGTGTGAGCTGTGCGTCCCTACATAACCGGTAACCGAAATAAGACTCTGCACCATGGTCCGTGGGCGGGCGCACGTGACGTATGCCTGAACCAACGCAACTTATACAGTATAGAAGAGTAGTAGGGGGAGTTGAATGGTATAGGTAGAATTTCGTCACATCTAGGCTCACTCAGACAGCCGCCACAAGCCCGGAAAAGCACTGCACGCGCGTTTCATCCTTTCGGGAATCATCAGCAGTGCGCATTCCATCGGACCCTTGGTAGGGCTCGAAACCGCAACTCGACTGTTGCCAGTCCGTGGTTGAGACCACTGAGCTACGGGGGACGGCAACGACCATCGTGAATAAGTTACTAGATGTGATATAGCGCCGCTCACTATCCACTGACTTACACGTTACTGCCGTGCAGAGGACAGGGTAGCCCCCCTCACCAAGCGACGAGCTTAACAAACTTAAGCCGCCAATTATCTTATGGCATTATAAGCAGTTTGTTCTGTGTACTGATTACAGAAGAGTAGTAGGGGGAGTTGAATGGTATAGGTAGAATTTCGTCACATCTAGGCTCACTCAGACAGCCGCCACAAGCCGGAAAAGCACTGTACGCGCGTTTCAGGTGATCTAAACCTTCCTCATGCGGATTGGCAAGGCACCGCAAACAGAGCGGATACATTGGAACAGGAACTAGTTGACTGGATGCATGAGAATGCACTTGAACAATACATCAATATGCCGACCAGGAGCCGAATCGGGAGTGCCCCCTCCACGTTGGATGTTGCCATCACCAAACACGGTCGTTTCGCAAAGCTACAAGTGGAAGCACCCTTAGGTAGGAGTGATCACTGCGTCCTCACTTTCTGCCTAAATACCTTGAAGCCTGCACGACATCCTCGCCTCGTGAGAAATTTCAGCCGCATCGACCATATGAAATTGAGGGATAGAGCCCTCCAGGTCAATTGGATCCCTGACCAGGAACAGGCATCTTTGGAACAAAGGTGGTCTGTGCTTAAAACTGGTTTAGTACAACTATTGAATGAGTTTGCTCCTCTTTGTCTTGCGAGACATTTCAGCAGGCCTCGCTGGTGGAGGAGGAGAATTGATAGAGCTCTAAAGAGACGAAATGAGAAGTGGAAAAAATTCAATGAGGCCACGGGCTTTCGGAGATGGCTACAGTACACAGAAAGCCGGAATACGGCTATCAAGATGCAACGGCAGGCTAAATACTCTTATGAGCTTCGGCTGGCTCGGTATGCGAAAACAAATCCAAAGTGTTACTACGGCTATGTTCAGTCTAAAGCCTCCCTAAGAGAGGACGTTGGGTGTCTAATTATGGAAGATGGCAGCCAGGCTGTGGAAGCCAGAGATAAAGCTGAAATGCTGCTAAGAGTCTTTCAGAATCTGCATAGGAGGGACAATGGATGTGCTGCACCATCGCAGCCACACTGTGTCAGCAGTTGTATAATGCAGGACATCGTGCTGACTGCGCAAGAGGTCTTTACTGTGATGACTAACTTGAATCCCTTCAAATCAGCCGGTCCTGACGATGTACATCCGGCAATAGTCAAGCCACTAGCTGACATCCTTCAACATCCTGTTCTGGAGCTGTTCAACTTGTCGCTCCAGGAATGCAAGTTGCCACGAGACTGGAAGGAAGCAGCCATAGTTGCAATTCACAAGGGTGGCTCCAAATCGGAGCCCCTTAACTACAGACCCATCAGTCTAACCTGTGTCCTGCTCAAGTGTTTAGAGAAGCTTATAAGAAACCGGATTTGTGAGCATTTGGCGGAACACAGTCTACTTAGAGCAGAGCAGCATGGTTTCATTAAAAAGAAGTCGTGCCTCACTAATCTACTGTGCTTCCTCGATGAGATTACTCGATGTCTTGACGACGGGATTCCGGTAGAGGTCTGCTATCTTGACTTTAGCAAGGCTTTCGACTCAGTAAATCACCGTTTCCTACTTGAAAAATTAGCATGGTTCGGAGTACATCCTAGACTTCTGTCTTGGGTGTCAGAATTCTTATGTGGGAGAACGTTTCGAGTTAGAATCGGTGATGTGAGTTCTAGTGTGGGCGTGGCCTACAGTGGAGTACCCCAAGGATCGGTGCTAGGTCCACTTTTGTTTCTTATGTTTATAAACGACTTGGCTCCTCTTATTGAAGACCCCTGTTACATCTTTGCGGATGACTTGAAGCTAGTCAGCAGGGGCAACCGTGCAACACTGGCCAAGGATATCATCAGTGTGGCAAACTGGTCGAAGCAATGGGACTTGCCCTTGAATGCAAGCAAGTGCCAAATTCTGACCACTAGTAGAGACGTACTTGCAGTTCAGACTTCCTTTGGGCCCTTCCCCTTACAATGCACTACCCAGGCACGCGATTTAGGAGTCATCATGACGAGCAGCTTCAAGCCTTCGATGCAATGTCGATACGCCGCCAACAAAGCGCGACGAGAATTGTTTCGCCTCAGGAGGGCTCTGTGTAATACCAAGCCAGAAGTGTTCCTGCCACTATACAAAGCAGTGGTTAGGCCACACTTAGAGTATTGTGTTCAAGCTTGGTCGCCCTATCTCCGTGATGATGTTCTTTGCCTGGAGAAGATTCAAAGACTAGCAACCAGGATGGTTGAAGGTCAACGGGGGAAGCCGTATGAAGATCGCCTAAAGAGCCTGGGGTTGTTTTCCCTTGAACGGCGTAGACTGAGGCGATCTGATAGAAACATTTAAGATCATGAAGGGCTTCAGTGCCATCGTGCCCTCTGATTTATTTGAGCTGGCTGATTCTGAACGCTTGCGTGGACATCGCTTGAAGCTCAAACAACAGAGAGCTAGACTGAACGTCAGGGCTAAGTTCTTCTCAAATCGTGTAGTGCGCAACTGGAATAAGTTGCCTTCGGAACTAATGGATTGTGAGACTGTGGTTGCCTTCAAAGCAGGCCTAGACAGGTGCTGGCCGCGTATTTTTCCGGAATTAATATAATCCTATCCAATTTATTCGCATTGTTATCCGATGTTGATCCTTGTAAAAGCAAAGATTGCTCTCGCTTTTGCTTCATTTCTTTTTGCAGAGGCAAGGAGAGGCGATCAAAAGTCGAAGTATCGGGGGCTCTGGTTCGCTTACCGGTACAAGAAGTTGGACGCTCGTTAGGCGGAAGCCTGTATCGTCCACGGATTTTGACCTGACCTGACCTGGTGCGTCCAGGTCAATGACTACCGAACGAAATGGTGTACTGTCTCTAGTGGTGTGCCACAGGGCACAGTACTTGGCCCAACGCTTTTTCTGTTTCATACCAACGACTTACCAGG